CCTGGGGTAGAGGTCAGGACTCAGATCTTCAGGCCCTCGGCCCATATGGGGTCCAACAAGTGGCTCAGCAAAACTAGGGGGCAGCCCCAGGCCTGTTTCCCAGGTCCCTGTCTTGCACAGCACCCACATTGCCACTCAGAGTTTTCATGTCATTCACCTGCCACTTACAAGTCCTGCTTAGAAGAGTCTCTGTTGACTTCCAGAGAACACCACCCAGGCCTCCCAGGCTCAACGGCCTTGGATTAAACATTCTGAAACACTGGGGAGAGAAGCCCATGGAAACTTTTGCCTACAGTGGCCAGAGAGCACACCAGTGAAGGTTAGGGTCTAACTCTAAACAGTGGTGACCTTGATCACCTTCAAAGACAGAATAGCAATGTCTGCAATACTATGAAACCTCAGTGAGAGAGTTTCCAGAAACAATGTTTCTGAGATTAACTGAATTTTGAGGTCAATAGATAATGAGGCACCACTTCAGGTTTCAACCATTCATTTCAAATCCCTTCCTGTGCAACGGAGAGGGTCAGATTCAATGACGGATGGCCTGCTCTCACTTTCTCTGTGCTAAGTGGCTTAGTACCTCTAAAAGGCAGAGAAGAAAGAAATCCCTGGCCATAAAGCATGACATTACGTCATTTCTTTTATTTATTTATTTAGTTAGTTAGTTAGTTTTTGAGGCAAGGTCTCACGCTGTTGCACAGGCTGAAGTGCAGTGGCACAATCACAGTATACCACAGTCTCAACCTCCTGTGCTCAGGCAATCCTTCCACCTCAGCCTCCCAAGTAGCTAGGACTACAGGCATGCGCCATCACACCTGGCTAATTTTTTTTTATTTTTTATAGAGATGAGATCTGGTTATGTTGCCTAGGCTTCTCTCAAACTCCTGGGTTCAAACAGTCCTCCCACCTCAGCCTCCTAAAGCATTAGGATTACAGATGCGAGCCACCACACTCAGCTGTAATTTCTTATTCTACATCAGTGTTCCTAACATTTTGGGCATCACAGACCCTTTAAGTAAATATTGAAAGCTATGAATCTTCCCCTCAGAGAAACACACATAGGTACACATACATGCCATATTGTGTATATCATTTCAGGCCATTGCTGGTTTTGAAGATAGAAGGGAGGGGGCATGAGCCAAGGAATGCAGTCTCTAGAAACCTCTAGAAGCTGGAAAAGACAAAAATACACTCTGTCCTAAAACTTTCAGAAGTCCACCCCAGGTTCCCAGGGACAGAGCCACAGCCAGAAACAGAGACACTGGAGGGAAGAGTCACCGTGGTAGCAGAAGACACACTTCTCATCAGCTCAGGGTATTGAAGAGGTACAGGGAAATTCACCCCAAAATGTGGCATTTTGCCTCAAGGTCTCTCCCAAGCTGCTTCCTCTTCCTGTTAAAAGTATCCATCACATGAAGAAGAAGAACCATTCTACTAAAGAATGCTTGCTTCTCAGGTTCATTTGGCTTCCAAGGAGAACTGCTTGCAGGTCATTCTGTTTCCCCCATCCCTTCATCCTCCCAATCACTTGTTGCCACTCAATAGAATTGTCTTCCTTCCCCTCCCCTCACTTATTTTACCAGAGCACAAGCCCCCATTCTTTGTGTCACCTCCGAGATAGTATTTAAGCTTCTGGAACTCATTGAGAAGTTGCGTCTTCATTCTGAAGGCCCCGTCTATACACAATAATTAAAATACGTATACTTTTCCCCCATTATCAATCTTGCCCCATGCCAGCGATTTTTCAGCAACCCTTTACAGGGTCTATGGCCATGGCCCCCCGCAGTAGAAAGGACATGTGTTCCACTCAATCTTTGAGGTCCTTCCAACCACTCCAGAGCCAGACAGTGTGTGAACCATGATCACCTTCAAAGACAGAGAATGACAATGTCTGCAATACTATAAAACTTCAGTGAGTGTTTCCAGAAACCACGTTTCTGAAGTTAACTGAATTTTGAGGTCAATAGATAATGAGACACCACTTTGGATTTCAGCCATTCATCAAGCAAAAGGTAAGTGTCCTCTTGAATCTGTCTTTCACGACGAAGGACCCGGCAGACCCTGAGGGACATGGGTCCTGTGGAAACTACCATTAGAGGACATAGTAGACATCATTGTCGAAGGAGAAGGAGATGGGAATGGGGACAGGATAGAACCTCATGCCTCACTCTCTTCCAGAATTTGCCTCTGAAAGGAACAAATTAAGTCCAAGATCAGGTGATAATTGTCTCTCTCCTTTTTTTTAAAATTTGAGTTGGAGTCTCACTCTCACTGACACCCAGGCTGGAGTACAGTGGCACAACCAGCCACCACAGCCTCAACCTACTGGGCTTAGGTGATCCTTCTGCCTCAGCCTTCCAAGTAGTTGGGACTACAGGCACATGCCACCATACCTGGTTAATTTATTTATTATAGAGATGAGGCCTTGCCAATTTGCCCATTCTGGTCTTGAACCCCTGGGCTCAGCCACTTTTCTCACCTCCTCCTCCCAAAGTGCTGAGATTACAGGCATGAGCTACCATGTTCAGCCTGAATTTGTCTTTTTCCTAACTATTGGGATTGAGTGACAGGGTGGGGATGGCTGTGTGTGCACACATATATGTACACACACAGACAAAGCACATAGGCACATGTATTCTGGTTAACTGGAATGTTTTGTAGACAGCCAGTATGCAAAAGCATTTATGCTCTGACACATTCTTAAGAAGTCTGAGTGAGGGTTTCCATTTGTAACCACACAGACACGGACTAAGCGTGAAGGGGTTAAACTGATTACAATTGTGGGAGGTGGATTTACTCAGGACACATCATGGTCACGTGCTAATAGAGAATGTGGTTTAAGCTTGAATTCCTAGTCTGGGCAACACAGCAAGACCCCATCTCTACTAAAAAAAATTTCTAATTAGCCAAGTGTAGTGGCACATGCCTGTAGTCCCAGCTACTTGGGAAAATGAGATAGGAGGATCACTTGAGTGCAGGAGTTCAAGGCTTCAGTGAGCTATGATTGTGCCACTGCACTCTAGCCTGAGTGACAGAGCAAAACCATGTCTCAAAATAACAATAATTCCAAGCGGCAGTGGAGACACCCATAAAAACAAAACCCTCCAGCACCACTCTATGATAACAATTCCTAAAACATGCCCAGTCCCCAAAGAGAGAATGCTGACATTGTCCCATAGCACCTGAGGTAGTCTTTTTACCTGACAGTCATTCTGCTGTTTTGATTTGGAATCACAGAACTCATATAATCTTAGGGCTGGAAAGATCTCTCATTTAAGCAATATCATCCTGCTTTCAAACTCTCTTTCTATTGATGCCCAGAGAGAGAAGTGCCTTGTGCAGATCATACAGAGGCCAGGACCCCCTCTCACAACCCGTTCCAGACATTCCAGGACCCTCGGAACCTCCTGGATTCTTAAAAATTCCTTTATCCCCCCCAGAGACCTTAAATTGAGCAGGTCATCATAGGCTCATCTGTATGGTTCCTACAGGGGGACAGGGTGAGATTATGATAGTGACCCTATGGATCAAACCTTAGATCTCAGAGGGAAGAAAGGGTCCAATTGCCTGTTGATATAGCCAAAGTCGGAGATGTGGATGGTTACAAGACTGAACAAACATTCTCAGTACACATCATGAGGGGCATGTAGGGACAGCCCCCGAGGCTGGGCCGTCTTGGGTCGCACCATTCCCAATTTCTGTCCCACAAAGCCAAATCCAAAGAGAGCCCCAATCCCCAGGGATGCTCTATTGACTCATCCAGTGAGCAGAGAATCACCTCTCTGGACCTGCAGGTGGGAGTCACTTGGCTTTTGAGAAGGGAAGCGCACGTATTTAAGCTGTGAGTGAACAATTTCCTATGGCTCTGCCCTTTGCCCAGCTGTCACTAAGCCAAGTTGTTGAATTATCCACTTAATAGGGCAATGCCCCTCCTAGCCCAGCAGGGAGTGTGAGGAGGCTGCAGTCATTCTAATTCCATTACAGTGGGGCTCAGCCAAGATCAGCGGGATGGCAACTCAGGGCATGAGGCTGGCATCCTCCCAATACATGAAGGTGCCCATACACAAACATTCAGACAGACTACAGGTGCACACCACCATGCCCGGCTAATTTTTGGTAGAGTTGAGGTCTTGCCGTGTTGCCTAGCCTGGTCTGGAGCTCCTGGGCTCAAGTGATCCTCCCACCTTAGCCTTCCAAAGTACTGGGATTACAGTGTGAGCCACCATGCCTGGAAGGATTTAGTTTTCTAATCCAGTTATTTTCACTTTTTTGTGTGTTCTTTCTTTCCATCTATTTTTTTTAAGGCTTGCTTTGTTCCTTTTCTAACTTCCTATTTTGGATATATAATTTATTTTCTTTTTTGCTTATTTAAATATGTTTTTAAAAACTAAAAACAAACAAAAATATTAGACTGTCAGATTTTTAGCTCAAGGGCCATAAACACAGCTCTCAGACCTACCAAAAGCCCCACAAGGCCAGAAGAGAGCTTCCTCCATGGTTCAAGTTCATCTCCCCACCTGACTCATAGCCTTGAGAGAAGAGATATCAGCCTCTTTCACAGAAGAGGAAATGAGTACTATGGCTTTCCCAGAGTCATGCAGTTGGCTGGGGACAGACTCCAGACAAGAAGCCCCATCAGTCAACACCTGACCCTGGCTCCTCCCCCCCTTACCACTGCCTTTCCCGGAACACGGCTGTTCCTCTGGGTTAAGATAATAATAGCTACACTTGTTGAACACGTACTCTGGGTCAGGCACTGTCCTGAGCATTTTGTGCAGCTGTGATTCTCACAGCTACCATCTAGGGAGTTTATGCCAGCAGGATAGGTGGAGAAAGGGAGGTTCAGAGAGGTTAAGTGATTCGCTTAAGGCTGCACAGCTACTAAGAATCCAGGGATTCAAAGCCCAATTCATTGGTCCCAAAGCTCTTTGGACTACACTGCAAGGAAGAGGGACAGTCCTCAGGGCCCCACTCCCCGCCACCGAGTGAAGGTACACTACCTCATTGCCACATTGCTGCCGTCGATCACTACAGGTCGCAGGGAGCTGACTGGGCCTTCGAAGTCCTCTTCCAAGGCTGTCCCCAGGCTCCGCTGGGTAGTGTCTGGGACCCCACAGGAGCCCCGAGCCACGAGCCGGGGTGCAGCCTGGGCCTGTGGGGCCTCGGGGCGACTGCCCGTCCGGATGAGCTCCTGCAGCACGTCGTTCACCAGGGCGCCATCCCCCAGCTTGGCCAGCACCCTGAGCACATCCTCCTGGCTGTAGCCCAGCTTCTGGAAGAACTCCATCCTTTTGGGGCGCTCCATGCTCAGCCCCAGCCTCCTCCTGGCAGAGCCCCGCAGGCATGAGCTAAAGAGAAAGGGCATCCATCAGGGGTTTCCTAGGCAGCCTGGGGTGAGGCTGCCGGGCATGGTGGTAGAGGGCAAAACTCATACTCGCCCTCCCTCCCTCCGGCCTTATCTATCAGGAAGTTATATCAAACCTGGTCCCCTGGGGGATTTTCAGCTGCTCATGTGGTTAGGGAGATGCAATCACACTGCTTTTACTAGTGCCTCTCAGCCCTTCACCCCACACGGCGCCCACAGCCACACGCCAGGATGAGGGGGCACCCGGCACAGGCAGGACATGTTGCTGAGGCTCTGTTGTCGGCTGAATGATGTCTTCCCCCAATTCCCATGTTGAAATCTTCACCCCCAGTAGCTCAGAGTGTGACTGTTTGGAATTAGGACTTTCAAAAGAAAGTCCCTAATTCAATATGACTGGTGTCCTCATAAGAAGAGGAAATTTGGGCTGGGTACAGCAGCCTATGCCTGTAATCCCAGTACTTTGGGAGGCTGAGACAGGAGGATTGCTTGAGCCCAGGAGTTTGAGACCAGCCTGGGCAACATAGTGAGACCTTGTCTCTACAGTAAAAGCAAAAAATTAGCCAGGAGTGGTGGTGCATGCCTGTAAGTCCCAGCTACTTGGGAGGCTGAGGCAGAAGGATTATCTGAGCCCAGGTGGTCAAGACTGCAGTGAGCTGTGATTGTGCCACTCCAGCCTCAATTACTATGGGAACTGACTGGACCTTCAAAGTTCTCTTCTGGGGCTGTCCCCAGGTCCCATTGGGTGGTATCCGGGACCCCGCAGGAGCCCCGGAGCACTCCCTGACTTGTTGGGCAACACAGTGAGACTCAGACTCAAAAAAAAGAACATTTGGGCACAGACACACACACACACACACACACGGACTGCCATGTGAAGATGCAGGGAGAAACGAGAAACCAACCCTGCAGACACCATGAACTCAGACTTCTAGCCACCAGGACTGTGAGATAATCAATTTCCGGTGTTGAACATATACCCAGGGCTGTCATGCTTGGTTATGGCAGTTCAGCAGACGAACAACTCGGCCCACACAGGGTTAAATGACCCCTGGTAAACTCTACTCCCAGAAAGGCAATGCTCCCACCCAAATTCAGCTCTGTGCACTGCACAGCCTTCCCTAGGGTTTACTTCAGAGCACACTGAACTTCTACAATAGAAGGTCCTGACCCGAATTTGATCTTTCGCACCCAGGCACTACAGCCTGGTCTACACTTGTGGGGCAGCCTGGGAAGGGTCTGACAGATGTTTACAAAGGGAAGAAGACTAATCCAAGAGAACACTCTGGACAGTCTTTTCTACAAAGACCCACAGCTTTCAAAAAACATTATAAATACAAAAATAATCATAAAACATATTTATGTGAAAATTCCAACAGTGCAGAAGTATAAAGAATAAAAAGATAGAATGTATCTCCATGCATAACCCCAAATCTCACTTGCCTCTCCAGCTAGCTATCTGCTTGCATTCATCCGGCACTCTCTCCACACATTTACCTGCGTGTCTAATAGGTACACACAAGCATTGTTTTGGAGTTGATTTATGTTTACATAAATGGTATACTATATTGCTCAGCAACTTGCTTTTCTGATTAAAAATGTATTTTGGAGCCAGGCATAGTGGCTCATGCCTGCAATCCCAGCACTTTGGGAGACCAAGGTGAGAGGATTGCCTGAGCCCAGGGGTTCAAGACCAGCCTCGGCAACTTGGCAAGACCTCGTCTCTACAATAGATCAAAAAATTTAGCCGGGCATGGTGGCACATGCCTGTAGTTCCAGCTACTTGGAAGGCTGAGGTGGAAAGATCGTCTGAGCCCAGCAGGTGGAGGCTGCGGTGGTCATAATTGTGCGACTCCACTCCAGCCTGGGCGACAGAGTGAGACTTCAACTCATAAATAAGTAAATAAAATAACTCATTTGGGAAATCTCTTCATGCTGGTTTACCTGTTCCACTGGTTAATGTATCCTCAGCATTTAGGACAGTACCTATATGTATATGTATTGATGGATAAACAAATGAATGAAAGAATGAGTGGAGTTCGCCAGTGTCTAACCAGATGCCCAACGACAGAAGTTCGTCTTCCACTTGCTCAGTGAACACTCTTGCCCATCTGCCTTCCCTGCCCATTCCCATCCCAGCACTGCAGGATCTTCACCTCAGCTCCTGTTCCTGTCTGCTCCTCTGTGTCACTCACATCTCTGGGCTACGTTCCTGCGTTGGCTTGGCCTCTCTGTGGGCCTCTCCCCACACCGCGGGAGCCAGAGCGGATCTAACAATGACGGGGTCTGGCAGGTGAAGGACATTTCACAGCCAGCCTCCTGGACAGAGAGGCCTCTGCCGCAGCCCCCACCTGCTCACCCCCCACTCCACCTTGGCCCACTGACAGCGGGCACCACCGCCGAAGCACCAAGACTGCCCCCAAGGTCACCAGTCCCCCCCTTCGGCTGCCAAATCCAACAGCAGCTCCACAGTCCTCACCTTGTGCAAAAACTCTGCCGGGTTTGACACTGGGGACCACTCCCTGACTTGTTATTTTAAATCAGTGAATGATGGGCTGCCCCTTCTCTGCTCCCTCAGGTTGTGTAACTTGGCCTGATTCTCCTCCTAAGTCTGTCCAGCTCTCTCCTTTGTGTTCACTCCTTCAGTATTGGGGTTCTGCCCAAGCCCTCCCCCAGTGTTTCGATGAGCCCACTGCTGCATGTCTGGCTCAGGCCTCCTGTGGAGCACCAGGCACAGTTATAAATCCGTAAGATACATGCTACACGTGCTATTTAGATAAAGGGCTATGGGAACTCAGAACGCTGTTGCTCAATAGACATTTGTTGAACTGTTTGCTTCAGTGGTTCTCAAAGTGTGGTCTAGGGAACCTTGGGGGACTCCAAGACTTTTTCAGGGAGTTTTCAAGATTAAAAATTATTCTCATAATAACTCTAAGATGTAATTTGCTTATTTACTCTCCTCCTTTCATGAGTGTACAATGGAATACTCCAGAGACTACATGTCATGTGATATTGCAACAGTCTGAATGCAGAAGCAGACATGAGAATCCAGCGGACCTCCTATTAACCCAGACACTAAAGAAATTTGCAAAAATGTAAATCAGTGCTGATCTTCTTACTCATTTTTTTGTTTTGGAAAATGAAGCTATTTTTCATGAGGATATGTCATTTATGTCCATGTTACTGGTTTATTATTAATTTAAAATAAATTAATTTTTTAAGTTCTTAGTTTTAGTTCCTAATAAAGTACTTATCCCCTCATAGATATAATCTACATAAACAAAAACTCTTTGTGTCCTTAACACTTTTTAAGAGTATAAAGGATTTCTGAAACCAAAAAGGTTTTCTTTGTTTTTTTTTTTTGTAGCGATGAGGCTTTGCTATGTTGCCCAGGCTGGTCTCAAACTCCTGGGTTCAAGCAATCCTCCCACCTCAGCCTCCCAAAGTGATGAGATTACAGGTGTGAGCCACTGTGTCTGACCAAAACCCAAAAAGTTTCTTCTTAAACTGGGAGCTGTTCCAACACATGTTTCCACATAGCTTGCCCCATGTTGGTGGCCTATAGATGTGCCACCATTTTCCCAGCACAGAAAGCCCAGGGTCTTTTGCCCCTCAGTCTGGTCCTCTCAAGCCGTCTCCTACTGCCCCCTGCCCCACCCAGGCCCAGTCTTGCCATCTCCATCCTGTGCCTAAGGACTGCAGCCATCTCCTAAGGCCCATCTCCTCCTCAAGCCCATCTGACTTATAGCTGGCTTGTAGCCAGAACTACATTTCCAAAACAAGTCTGACTGTGTCACCTCTTCTTAGCCATATCCTCTGGCCCCCTGTGACTGAAAGAAAGACATCAGATGTCTGGGCAGGCTGCCAAACTTCTTACAATGCAGCCCTGATGCCGTCCACCTCCCCACCCACCCCTGGCTCACCTGGTCCTTTCTCTAGAGCCATGCTGAATTTCCCCCTGCTTCCAGAATGCTCTCAGCACTGTGCTTCTTTCTGCATGTGCTTTCCTCTGTACCTGGAATGCTCTTTTTGGCTTGGCCATCTTCAAGATTCAACTCAAATATCCCTTAGAGCAATCACCTCTGACCTTATGGACAGAATGAGCAGCTTGGCCATCTCATGCACCACAGTACTTTGCTCACACTTCTGTTAAGACACAATGAATTGTCATTTATCTATTTCTCAAGAAACTGAACTACTCAGATATTCTTACCTATTGCCCCAGAATGACCAGCACCTGGTATGGTGCCTAGTATATCTGAAGAGTATAATAGGTTTTTGCTTATTTTTTAAAGTATTGGGGGGGGTCTCACTATGCTGCCCAGGCTGGACTTGAACTCCTAAGCTCAAGCAATGCTCCTGCCTCAGCCTCCTAAGTAGCTGGTACCACAGGTGTGCACCACTGTGTCCTGATAGATTTTTAAAAAATAAATATCCACAGCTGGAGTTATCTTCCCTCCTCAAGTGTTTTTTCCTTGGGTTGTCAAATAGGAGAAGGTCTGTGTCACACTCTGTGGCATCATCACAATTGGGCCTAATCCACCCTCCAGGCTCTTGGCTACCTGCCTTTAGTCTGGTCTCACCTCTTCTCTGACTGGTGACTAGTCCCTCTCTTTCAGAACGGTTGTCCCCTCAGGCTGGGGACCAGTATTGGTCCAAATTCCAAGGAGGAAGAGGACACTCACCCAATCTGGCAGACCAGTCTCACACTAGGGGTGCTCACTGACCCCTAAAGCCCTCTGCAGGCTCTCCCCTCACCCAGAACACCTGTCCCCAGGCGAACCCTACAGTCACATCCTCCGTGAAACCTTCCCAATGCTGGCAGCCTGTCTACACGCCACCGCCGCCCCCGCTATGCTTGTGCTATAGCACTTATGTGAGTTTGGAAGAAAGAGGGAGAAGGGAAGAGGGAGGAGGGGTGAGAGAAAGAAAAGAGGGTAGGGACCCGAGAGAGAGAGAGAGAGAGAGAGAGAGAGAGAGAGAGAGAGAGAGAAGGGAAGAGAGACAGTAACAAGTGACAGGAACATAAAAGTTCATCTTCATGAGGTTCAACTCCGTATCGCTTTCATATAGAGACACTTCCATGAATGCCCTGTTAGCCCTGGTGGGAAGACAGGGTAGATACAAGCATTCACTTTTCACAGAGGGGGAAACTGGGGCTCAGAATGCTCAGAACTGAGCAAAAGCTGTGGAGCTAGTAAATGGCAGAGACTGACAGTCAGGAGGTGCTGAAAATGATTTGTCGCTTTCGTTGCGTTCAGGATGGAGGTAGCAGGCTGTTACTGCAGAAGTGGAGAAACCAGAAGATGACTGGGTCAGGTGACTTCTCTTTAGTCACAAACGCATAGCTGTGAGGAGGGACGGCCTTTATTTGGTAACTGCATTCTCGTGTGACAGAAACATGAATGCTTCCAAAATGGAAAGGCGGGTCTTTCACCCGGGGTGGGCCAGGCAGAGCGGCCATATGAGGCCCTGGTCCATGTCCAGGGGACAGCTTCTCTCCTCAGAGTACTGGAGTCCCAGTCCACATCTCCTGTTTTTTTCTTTTCTTTTGAATTGGGGTCTCACTCTGTCGCCTACGCTGGAGTGCAGTGACACAGCCATAGCTCACCACAGCCTGGAACTCCTGGGCTCAGGCAATCCTCCTGCTTCAGCCTTCAGAGTAACTAGCCTAAGTAGCAGGTACCACCACGCTCAGCTAATTCTGTTTATGTTTTTGTAGAGACAGGGGTCTCACTATGTTGCCCAAGCTGCAACATAGTTGCCCATAGCTCCTTTTCTGAGGAGATTTTCAAAAGGGTATAATGCGCGGGACAGGAGAGCTGTTTTTACATGAAATTAACTGAAAAGTCACCTGCTTCAGAGGCTTCCCCCAGACCCCGTGAGACTTTAAAATCAATTTTGTTTCCTTTTAAAAACCTAAATAAGGCAGAAACTGAGGTGGGGGAGGGGGTTGCAGTTCTCAGGTGTCCCTGGGCCCTTGGGTCACAGCCCTGCCCTTCGGATGTGATGGTCTTTGAGCTGCGACACCACCAACTGCTGCATTTTCCTTTCTATTTTTAAGACTTGAAAACATGAACAACTTCATTTCAGTTTTTCTTCCTCAGTCTTGACTGGAAGTCATGAACAGTGCAGATAAATAGCCACGCTGAGGACATCTTCAAAGTGCCCTCTGGCCTGGGTGATGGTGGGAATCACCACCATTGGGGGTCTGGTCTCTCCCATTTACTAGCTGTGGAACCCTGGGAATGTCACCCAAGCCTCTCTTTTCCTCAGCTTCCTGGTCAGCACGGCCATGCTTTCCTGCAGCTGGCAGCCAGGACCAGGGAGGTGTGTTCAGGTGGTACCAAAGCTGGAGACAAAATAGCAGGAAGGGAAGGCAGGGGAGGGAGGGAAGTGGAACTTCACAGGTGAGCAACGGGAATCAGATCAGATTACCTTGTTTTAGAACCAGCCAATCCTGTGAGAACTCCTAGGCCAAAGGTCCGTCACCTGTGACTGGAAGAGCCCCTGAGGAAAAGGATAAAGGATGAAAGAGAAACCTAAAGAGAAGAAAAGGAGAGGGACAGAGAAGCAATTGCACGGCCTTGTCTATTATCTGTGGGAATCCCTACATCCCTGGGAGGTGGAAAACACCACCTCTATTCGTGTTGCAGGTGAGGAAGCCGAGGAAAAGAGGGGCTTGGGTGATAAACCCAGGGTTCCATAGCTAGTAAATGAGAGAGACCAGACTCCCACTGGTGGCGATTCCCACCACCACCCAGGTCAGAGGGCACTAGCCAGGGCTGCCCAGGTGCTACCCAGTACCACCTGTCACCATCCACGCACCAGCCCCCAGATGAGCACATTCAGCACCTTGCCCCACCCCCCACATCCATTCCCAGGTCATCTCTGCCAGCTCCACAGAAATCCGCAAATTATGGCCTCCAAAGCTTGAGCAGCACGATGAGGAGGAAGTAGTCCTGCTCCCAGCTCTCGACAGTCCAAGCAGAGAGTTTCCGGTTCAGCTCAAATCTAGAAGCCCTCAGCGGAGTTGTCAGTGAGATTTTTGAGGAAGTCTCAGAGAAGCAAAGACTTCAGCTCACAGGACTTGTCCTTTTGGTCCAGCTTTTTTTTTTTTTTTTAAGGGAATTTATAACTTTCTTTTTTATTTTTAAAAACTGTGGTAAAATATACATAGCATAGATCTTTCATTCTAACCATTTTAAGGCACTGTTTAGTAGCATTAAGTACATTCACACTGTGGTGTAACCATCACCACCATTCATCTCCAGAACTCTCTTCACCCTGCAAAACTGAAATATGCTCATCAATCAACTCCCCGTTTCCCCTTCCCCTGCCCCCCAGCACCCACCATTCTATTCTGTCTCTATGAGTTTGGTGACTCTAGGTACCTCCTATGAGAGAATGACTCAGTGTTAGTCCTTTTGTCACCGTCTTATTTGACTTAGCATAGTGTCTTCAACATGTTTGCAACATGCATTAGGATCTTCTTCCTTTTTAAGACTGAATAGCATTCCTTTATATGTATAGACCACAACTGGTTTATCCATTCACTTCTTGATGGACACTTGGGTTGTTTCTGCCTCTGGGCCTCCATGAAGGATGTTGCTATGATTTTTTTCTTTCTTTTTTTTTTAAAAATAAGTAGAAATGGAATCTTGATGTGTTGCCCAGGCTGGTCTCAAAATTCTGGCCCCAAGCAATCCTTCCATCTCAGCCTCCCAAAGTGCTGTGATTACTGGCAGGAGCCACCATGCCCAGTCAATGTTGCTATGCACATGGGTATACTAGCCTGGCCTTTGGCTTTCTCCCCAAACTTGTCCCCTGCTCTTCTGCCCTGCTATGGGTTACTTAGGAAAGTACACACAAGAATTTAAGCCCTGATCTATACTCCAGAGCAGCTCTTCTGTAATACACATCCCAGCCTATTCATGTGTCCAGGATTGGCACCCTAGCATTGGAGAGGATTTCATAATCTTGGGGGCCACAGCTGAAGTTTCTAATGGCTGCCATGAATTAGCCAAAGTTGTCTTTATTGTAATCACATTAAGACTTAGTTCCATTTCCAGGCCGAGCATGGAGGTTCATGCCTGTAACTCCAGCACTTTGGGAAGTCAAGGTAGGAGGATCTCTTGAGGCGGGGGGCTAGAGACCAGCCTGAGCAACATAGTAAGGCCCTATCTCTACAAACTTAAAAAAAAATTAGCCAGTCATGGTGATGCCTGCCTGTAGTCCCAGCCACTTGAAAGGCTAAGGCAGGAGGATCATTTTAGCCCAGGAGTTCAAGGCTGCAGTGAGCTATGATTGCACCACTGCACTCCAGCCTGGGTGACAGATAGAGAACTCGACTCTTAAAAACATTAAAAAAAAAAAAAAAACAACTCAGTTCAATTTCCTCTTTGGCCTCCTTGAAGCCCACAGAGCCATCCTCTCTAAGAGACATTGCCAAGAGTCCCTGGTCTGTATTTGGCCAGGAAACCAGACACCCACAAATCAATATCTTGTCTAGAAGATGCTTTCATGAGCATGGAGGCAGGGCTAAAATATGCCTGAGAGATCTACTCCTTCTGATTTCCTAACAGTAACATCAAAATATCTTCAAAAGTCACAGCTGGGGGTTTTACTGAACCGTAAGAGCTTCCTTTGCTTAATCTCTCTCCCATAATTCCATCTGGAAATTAAACTTTTGCTAAAATGAGCAAGAATTTCACCTAAAGGAAAGAGGTTTACCTTCTTTTTTTTACTTAGCACTCACAATAATTTAAGGGGGTGAGACTATTCAGGACAATTCCCGAGGCCTGCTTTCTAAACCTGTCCCCCTCCTTCCCCCGTCCCAGTCTCTGACCTCCCACCTCCTGGGCTGAAGTCTGCATGGCCTTGGCCACACTGACTGGTGACCTGGGGGAGCCACACACTCACCAGCAGGGTGTGTCCCTCTGGTCCTCACAATGGACGCTGGCCCAGCTGCCTGCAGCCTCCACACAAAAGTCCTCCTGCCAGAGAGAGGCCAGGCCTCCAGGTGCCACCAGAGTCAGGGGAACACCACTGGTCTGTGCCACGCGGCGGCTTGGAGCCACTTCATGCCAGTGCTCTGTTCCTGCACGCTGCAGTCACGTTTAGCTGCAAAGGTAGTTCTGCTTTGGGTTTAAAAAAAAAAAAGGAAGAAAGCCATCAAATGAGGGAGGAGGATTGAAGTTGGCACCTCAGCATGAGTCACTGAACCAAAGTTCAACAGCCACACGCAAAACAAGCTCTCCGTGAGGGCGGCAGCTTGGGCTGGCTGACAGGAGAGGAAGGGACAGAGAGGAACTTCTGTCCTGAGTTCCTGCTCGTGCCTCAGTTAAGGAGCTCAGCTGATCCCAGCTGCATCTAAGCAAAGTTGGTGCTCACTGCTAGACACAAACACAGCTTGAAGGAGGGTGTCGGGGCAAGGGAGGGAACACAGGCGGCTATGGGGATATGGTGCACAGGGGACACGGCACACTCTGTCCCTGCCTTCACAAAGGTGGAAATCTCAAACAAGTCAGGAAGTCCTTCCCACCAGGGGGCCAGGGTGCTTGTCAGAGATAACAAGGCCCTGTGACTCCCTTACCTCTGCTCTGTGTGGGATGGGCAGTGGCTTCTCTACTATGGCCGGGATGTCTGACCCCAGGCCCACCTGACCACAGCATTCTGCAGGCCATCTTGCCACCAGCCTCAGCAGGTACAGGCAACAGAAACAGAATTCTGTGATTAGTTCCTGAATTTGGCAAAGCCCATCAGCGGTCAAAAGAAGAAGAAGAAACACGAACCGCCCAGGAGCCCACCTCCCAACACATGACTGTGTCTCTGACAGTGGCTTGCCCGAGGGCACACGGCAGTCAGTTGATCAAGCTGGGGGTAAAGTCCAGGAGTGGCGCTGAGGAATAAGAATGGTACAAGGTCTTGGGAACGGGTTGCTCTGCCTTATTCATGCCCCATCTGTCTCCCAAAGAAGGTCTGAAGCAGTCTACAATATGAAAACATACCGAGAAGGGGATCAACTGAATTACAAACGAAAGGTGCAATCAGAAATCATTAGAAGAAAAAAAAAAAATGGTGTACTAGAAAGCTGGATTAGAATAGTCACTGTATTGCAATATGCTAATTCTAGGGGTTTTGTTTTTTATTTTTTGTTTTTTTGTTTTTTGAGTTGGGTTTCACTCTGTCACCCAGGCAGAGTGCAGTGGCATGATCATGGCTCACCAAAGCCTCTACCTCCTGGGCTCAGGTGATCCTTCCACCTCAGCCTCCCAGGTAGTTGGGACTACAGGCATGCACCACCACACACTGAGAGTTGTTTTTTTTTTTTATGTGTAGCAACGAGGTCTACTATGTTGCCCAGGCTGGTCTTGAACTCCTAGGCTCAAGTAATCCTCTCATCTTAGGCTCCCAAAGTGCTGGGATTACAGGCATAAGCCCAGAGAATCCTAATTTTTAATTTGTCTGGCACAATGGGTTTCCTAGCAACAACTCCCATTTGTCTAGCACCAGCAGTATATTTGGTACTTTAGATCAAAGTCCTCATTCCCACAAGAGCTCAGTGATATAAGAATAATTATTCTCATTTCAAGATGAGGTCATCAGAGTTGAGAAAGGGTAACTAATTTGCTTAAGTTCACTCACTGAGTTTTGAGTCAGAATTGAAATCCAGGGTCTTCAACCTCCAAAACATGCTTTTTACACAACCACACCTTATGTCTAAGCTCCCAGACCCCTAAAAAAAAGCATGCAGGGTTTTCAAGAGAAATAAATATTTTCCTGGTGTTAAATCTTTATGTTGAGTAACTTATCAGGCAGTATCTTCAGCTCACGTGCTGTAGAAGATGCCAAGTTGGTCTAAAAATGCTCATTCTTTTCCAGAAGTCCCAGTAAAAGCTGAGGGTATAACCTTATACCTCAACTCAGAGAAGGCATTTCCATGGGGAAATGAGCTAATGCCGTCCAAGAGCCTTGCTCTCTGATTTACCAAATAAAGCAACCAAACTGAGACCCAAATTGCAATGGCTTCCTTGGATGATCTCTTTCAAATACTAAATGACTGAGTCATACCTTTTTTTCTTTTTCTTTTCGTAGAGGTGAGGTCTAGCTATCTTGCCCAGGCAGGTCTCAAACTCCTAGCCTCTAGTAATTCTCCTGCCTTGGCCTCCCAAAATGCTAGAATGACAGGGGTGAGCCACTGTGCCTGACTCAGAGCCACATTTTTTAAAACCAATCAAAGAAGAAATTCTCTGAGGAGATTACCAAGTGCCATCACATTATACATTTAACAAAAGATGAAGCTGGACATTGCAGTGCACACCCCAGCTCTTTGGGAGGCTGAGACAGGAGGACCACTTGAGCCCAGATGTTTGAGACCAACCTGGGCAACATAGTGAGACCTCATCTCTACAAAAAAAATCAAAAAAATTAGTCAGGCCTGGTGGTGCTTGCCTGTAGTCTCTGCTAGTCAGGAGGCTAAGGTGGGAAGATCGTCTGAGCCCAGGAGGTCAAGGCTACAGTGAGCTGTGATCGTGCCACGGCACTCCAGCCTGGACAACAGAGTGAGACCCCATCTCTAATAAATAAATAAATAGAAATAAGGTCTGCAGGAGGTGACCATTTTAGTTACCCTATTACCCAAAACTAGGCCTCCCTATGGGAGCCTGAAGAGAAGGCCCAGCTTGCTGCTTGCAGTGGCAGTTGGGCACATGTCTACACATCTCTAAATGCATTAGGTGTCAAAAAGAGAGTGGGACAACGAGCTTCACACACTTCCCTCTTCTGCCCTGTTGAAAAGTAGCTTTGAGTCTGCCCTGAGGCTGTTTCTGCCCACTTTGGCCCTTGCGGTGAGACTGAGGCCTGTGTTTTCAGGAAGTGGCCTGGAGGTGTTGGGACAGTGGATCGTAGGCATGTGGGTACAGACCTTCACCAAGGAGGAAGACACAGACACGCAGGTAGAGAACACTGTCCCTGAGGCCTTGGGAGCCCATCTGTGGGCCCAGGTTGGGACCCCTGGGCATGGCTGCCTCCTTCCACCCACAGCATCAGTGAACAGCATCAACCGTCTTCTGTTGTGCATCCTGCTTCCTCGGTGAGCTACGAAAGAGCACAGCTAGCTATTGGCAGTGGTGACATGGACATGCATAGACTGGGCTATCCTGGAAAATGCTCAGCTGCTTTCCAATGACTCGTGTACCAGCAGGTGTGAGGGCTCCCCTTTCCCTGAATCCCGCCAATGTGTGGAATTCTGAGACATTCCCAGTGCTTTCTGCCAGTCTGACGGAGAAATGGCATATCATGGTTACTTTAACTTTCATTTGCCTGGTTACTAATGAATTTGAGGATCTTTTTTTTTTTGAGTTGGAGTCTCACTCCATTGCCCAGGCTAGGGTGCAGTGGCATGCTCACAGTTACCCCAGCATCGACCTGCAGGACTCCGGTGATCCTTCCACCTCAGCCTTCCAAGTAGCCGGAACTACAGGCACGTGCTAGCACGCACGGTTAATTTTTTTATTTTTATTTTATTGTAGAGACGAAGTCTTGCCAAGTTGCCCAGGCTGGTCTCGAACCTGCAGACTCAGGTAATCTACTCACCTTGGTCTCCCAAAGTGCTGGGATTACAGGCTGAGCCATCGAGCCCAGCCAAATTTGAGCAGCACTTTTCATGTGTTATTGACTGTGCAGTGTTCTTCTTTTTTCCCCTCCATTGTGCATTTTCCTATTTAGTCTTTTTTCTTTTTTTTTTTTTGAGTCTTTGTCTTACTCTGTTGTCCAGGCTGAAGTGCAGTGGCATGATCATGGATCACCACAGCTTTGACCTCCTGGGCTCAGGTGATCCTTTTGCCTCAGCCTCCCGAGTAGCTGGGAGTACAGTCATGTGTCACCACACCCAGCTTACTTTTTAAAATTTTTTTGTAGAGATGAGGTCTGGCTATGTTGCCCAGGCTGGGTTCAAGTGATCCACCCACCTTAACTTTCCAAAGTTCTGGGACTACAAGTGTGAGTCATTACAAGTAGCTTTTTTTCTTCCTTTTTATTTGTAATAACTTTTATGTATTCTTTATACTAACCCTTTACCATTTGTATATGCTGTGAACATCTGCTCCTAGTCTAACATGCATCTTTTAGCTTGCTTTATGATGTTTTGGGGTTTATGGATGTTTTTACTTTAGTGTAGTTAAAACAATGCTTTTTCCTTCATAATTTATGCTTTTTGAATCTTGTTTAAAAAATCCTTCCCTATCTTGAGATTGAAAAGACATTTTCCTGTGTTTTCCCTAAAATTGTAAAGTTTTGCTTTTTCATAATCAGGTCTTAAATCATATTCTGGAATTTATTCTGATGAATGGTATGAGAAAAAAATCTAAGCTTATTATGGTAGGCAGCTTGGTGTCATGAACCTGAAGCCCGACTATTCTGCTACTTATTAGCTGTGTAACCTTGAACAAATCATCTAACCTCTCGTCCTTCAGTTTCCTCATACGTAAAATAAAGATAATAATCTTATCTATCTCATAAGGATACTGTGAAAATTAAATTGATTATGTATGTAAAGTGCTTAGGACAATACCTGGTATATGTTAAATGCTCAATAGATAGCTGTCATTATTTTGAGTACAAGCTTCATTTTAGAGATAGGATCTTGCTTTGTTGCCCAGGTTGGAGCACAGTGGAGCCATCATAGCTTACTGTAGCCTTGAACTACTGGGCTCAAGTGATCTTTCTGCCTCAGTCTCCCAAGTAGCTGGAACTACTGGCACATGACACCACACCAGGCGTGTGTGTATATATATAATATAATATATAATACATATATATAATATACAGACACATGACACCACACCAGGCATGTATATATATATAATATATATATTACATATATAATATGTAATATGTAATATATATGTATATATATGCATATATGTAATATATATGTGTATATATATATATGTAATATATATTATATATATTTGGTAAAGACTGGGTCTTGCTAT